TGGCTCACGGGCCCAGCCGCTCCGCGGCATGTGGGATCTTCCCGGACCGGGGCACGACCCCGTGTGCCCTGCATCGGCAGGCAGACTCAACCACTGCGCCACCAGGGAAGCCCTAGAATAAGTACTTTTAAAAATCAGATTCAGACTTCCCTGGTGGTCCAGTGGTTAAGACTCCACCCTTACACTGCAGGGGGCACAGGTTCAGTCCCTCGGGGTACTAAGATCCCATATGCTGCGGGGTACAACCAAAAATAAATAAATAAATATGCATTTGCCTCCATATTAAAAAAATCAGACTCAGGGAATAGAGAACCAATTAATTGAAAACGCTCATAAATGTGTATGACACAGAACGATTTGAGGGTGATGTAGAATCATGGACCTTTAGAATGGGAGAACTTGGAGCGTGCCTGTCCAGCCCTCGTTTCACAGATGGGAGACAGGCCTGCAGTGGGAATTAACTTGCCACAACCCATCTTACTGGCAAACCGCCTGATTGCAGGCCAGGTGCTACGTCTCCTAAGTTAGGCTACCTTGGGTCCATCTTGTTGCAGGGAGTGATGTCTGGCTGAGTCAGCCTTTGAGCTACAGAAGTGCTGTAGGTTTGAAACAGGTACCCATGCTCTGTTTTCCAAGGGAGACACATACAAGGAGCACAGTGATTTGCTCAAGGTCAAGCTGAACTGACACCCAGGTCTCCTGATTACTGAGCCAGTGTCCTGTAGCCAGGAGCAGTATAATTTGGTGGAAAGATCAGAACCTTGAACAGACAGTCCTAAATCCACCACTTAGCAGGGATGTTATCTTAGACAAATAACTTGTCCTTTGTGCATCTGTGTGTCTTAGATTCTTCATCTGTAAGATGTGCTCATGATAATGGTACCTACCTCCCTGGGTTGTCTAAGGGTTGGCTGAGCTGACATACGAAAAGCTTAACCCTTAGTGTGCTCTCAGGAAATGCTTCCCTTACATGGGATGACTTAGGAAATACCCCCATTGGGAGCTCAGGTTCTGCTGTTAACATTATCTCGAGACCTGGGTTTTGTTTTTTTGATATGTTGCTTCACAACCTTCCTGGGGAGTGCCACGAGCAAGAATTAAGTAACGCCTGTAGAATGGTTCCATCTCCTTAGAGGAAAGACAAACATTTTCAAACCGTGTACCTTCCTCTCTCCTTTCTGAACTTGCCAATGTTACCTCTTGCCATTAATTGATGAAATGGGGTTGCTGGCAAAATAACAGGTACAGGCTGTATTATCATTGCTCATTCCTTGGGGAGATGGAGAAGCAACTGGCTGAGAAATGTTTAGCAGAAATAATACTTGAGGACAAAGGCTGGTGCATAACAAAACCGTCGTGTAAATCAAGTTTAGAATGTAAATCAAGCGCTCCATTAATATTCAGTGTTTTAATGGAAGAAACACCTGCTGGGCTATCAATAAAGGAGCTCTGCAGAAATCTCGAAATGTCATTTCCTTAACTACTCGAGTGCCAGGCCTCTTCACAGAGTTCCCACTGTCCATTTCTACACCTAGATGCCAGAATGCATTTTAGAATTGCATCAAGGGCACACACGGCTTTGTTTTAGGGTTAGGAAGAGAATTTTTTAAAGTTTTCTATAATGTGGAAAATGGGAAAATAAAGATTTTGATGATTTACTGTGAACTTTGGGGAAAACAAGTCAAGGTACTTCACTTAATTTAATATAATGACTTACATCGTAGTGACCCAGACTAGAGACTCTGGTGTCAGACTGCCTGGGCCATTTAGTAGTTATGTGACCTCGTGCAAGATACTTACACCCCTGTGCTTCCTCCTAGGTAGAACGGGGACAGCAGTGCCTGCTCACAGCAGGTGCTTGGGAAGGGGCAGTTGCCCTTATGGAAAGTCAGTTAGTCCTCTGTGCTCAGTAGGTGGGTGGGCAGTGCACGTGGGCCACCACAATGGGGTGGCAACTTTAGGCTCCCACGTTCAGGCCCCTTCTCAGTGCAGGGATGGTGCCCACTCCTATTAAGCCAGCAGCTCTCAAGGCTGCTCATAAGCTTGTAGTTAAAACCGTGTAGGGGGCTTCCCTGGTGGCACAGTGGTTGGGAGTCCGCCTGCCGGTGCAGGGGACATGGGTTCGTGCCCCGGTCCGGGAGGGTCCCACATGCCGCGGAGCGGGTGGGCCCGTGGGCCATGGCCGCTGGGCCTGCGCGTCCGGAGCCTGTGCTCCGCAACGGGAGAGGCCGCAGCGGTGAGAGGCCCGCGTACCGAAAAAAAGAACAAAAACCGTGTAGGGCCGGGAGAGTGAGGTGGAGGCACTTACCGGTGAGGACACCCCATGTACAAGGAGAGAACCTGTTTCCCAGCTCACCCAGAAAGCGCGTGGTCTGACGGAAATGCCACGGGCAGGATGTTGGGTGCTGGCAGGGGTTTCTGCAGGCAGGATTCTTCTACCCAGCTAGACACATCGGGGACGTTGCAGGTCACAGTGAGCGCCAAGACTTTACCATGACCTTGGAGTGAGCAGGCAAGGGCCTCTGGGTTTGTTGCCAACTCCTGGAGGCAGAGGCCCAGTCTTGCTACTGTTAGTATCTCCTGTGGGGCTTAGGGGAGTCCTGAATTCAAGTTCTGGCCCACTCTTCACTAGCTGGCTCTGTAAGCTGCGTCTCCTCTCTGTGCTACTTTTCTTCTCAGTAAAATGTTGCTGAGCTCCTGGCCTCCCATAGGTGTTGCAAGGATTGAGCCCATCCACATGAAGCACTCTAGGACACTGTCTGGCATATCCTAAGTGCCCAATAGGTGGCAGCCGTTACTACCAAGCCCAGCCAGCCCGCACGCTATCCCTGGAATATGTCCTTTCAAGGCTCCTTGCCTTTGCTTGAAGACCCTCCCACCTCTCCCAACCCCACCAATCCCCTCTTCAACTGAACGGCCCACATCCGTCATGTGTGGTGGCTCCCCGCACTCCGTCTGTTCAGAATTCATCACTCCTGCCTGTGTCATCAGTCAGTAATTATTTGTTGTGCACCTGCTGTGTGCTGAGCAGGTGCTGTGCTAGGTCCTGGGAGTACACGCACAGTTCAGGGTCCTTGACTCAGTTTCCAGAGAAGTGGGAGCAACCATCCAGTAATCAGACAATTACTGTGTAGTGTAAGTGTAGGGATGGTGCAGGTATCATGGGACGTGTGATAAGAAGCCAGGGGGGCTTTCTGGAAGAGGCACCTGGGCCTAATGGAAGACGAGGTGTTAAATAGTAAAGGGGGGAACAGTGGGAATGGAGGGAGGGGAAGAAGTGGAAGAAAGAGTCTTCCAGACAGGAAACAATGTGCAAAGTCCAAAGCTAAGAGCATGGCAAGATTGGAGAATAAAAAGCTAAGTTCCATAGATTAAACAAATACTTGGTATGAGGCAAGCTGTGTTCCATGTGCTACACACAGATTAATTCATTTAATTCTCACAGCATCTGCATGAGGTAGATGCTGTTATCCTCATCTTGCAGATGAGGAAACTGAGGACCGGTACCCGAGGCCACTCAGCTAGTGGGTTATGGGGCTGGAATTAGAAGGCAGGCAGTGTGGTTCCAGAGCTGATACTCTAGCCAGTGCACCCTCCTGCCCTATAGCTGAACCGAGGCCAGGATGGCTGGGCTAAAGAGGCTGGAGACAGAGGGGGCTGCAGAGGTAAAGGGCCAGACCCTGAAGGGCTTTGAATGGCACACCAGGAGTGTTGATGGGGGAACAGGGAGCAGGGGCATGGACAGACTTGCTTGTAGTGGCTGCATTTCTCTTCCCTGGAGCAGTTCTAAGCCCAGGGTTAGGTTTATGACACCCACTCAACAGCATGACCCTGAAGACAGAGGCTGTCTGATGCCCTGCCCTTGGCTGGTGCCCATTAAATGTTTGTAAAGCAAATGGAATGAAAGGAACATGGGAAAGGAGGCAGATGGGCTCTGGAGATGCTGGGGTGCAGATCCTGGCTCTGACACTCACTGGTGAGACTGCGTGCCCCCATCTCCTTATTCATAAAATTGGGATCACAGACCTGAGAGCATGGCTGTTAGGATGAGAGAATTCAGGTACATGGTTTGCGCAGTGCTTGTACTCCATATTGATGGCCATCATCTCTCTGCCTGCCCTTGTGCAACTGCCAGCAGTGTGTTTCATCAGGGGTTGGCTTAAGAGGGCTTTGTTCCTCCACCCAGTTCTCCAGCTACCACCCTAAATCCACAGAGGTAACCAGACAGGGTGTGTGGGGGGGTCTCACCTCCATCCCTGACCCCTGGCCCTGGGAAGGGCCACACTCTAGTCTTGTGGGAAGGAGGGGCCCTGGGATGGTGGGAAAGGCTCTGCCTCAAGTCGGGGATGCGAAGGAAGGATGCTGGTTCCTTGTCCCTCCTCTGGGCCTAAGTTTCCTCATCTGTAAAATGAGGTGGCGAGGGGCTAAGAACTTGTGGGGAGCACTGATTAGGCTCTGCTGGAATCCCAGGCATAGGCAGGTGGCCGGGGAGGCAGCAGGTGAAGGCCAGGCCCACAGGTCCCACTGCACGCATCCGCTTCACATGAGGGCCACCTGTCCCCCAACCCCCGCAGGCTCCACTGCTGAGGAAGGGGAGTGCCTAGGGCCCTTCCCCCACACTCCTGGCTGTGCTCAGCTGGGCTGCGCTGCCCACCATCATAGCCACTGCAGTGGGGCAAGGCTGGGTGAGGCCTTGTGCTCTGGAAGGGGGTGTGGGCACACATGCCAGGCAGGTGGGGCTCACGGGGCCCCCTGCTCCTCACGCCAGCCAGGTTCACATCCTAACTTCTGCAGGTCACTCCTAAGTCCGAACTGGGTTCACTCGCCTGGCGGCTCTTAAGAGGATGGCAGAAGTCAGAGGAGGCACAGCCATGGACTGGGAGGCCAGGAGCCTTCCTGGAAGAGGTGTAAGGTGGCCACATTGGGTGTGAGCATGGGAATGCCTTTACTAGTGCTTGTGTGTATGCAAGTGGGTCCTTGGGACAGGACTCTGGCTAATTTCTTTTCATTCATTAGTTCCTTCATTCTTCCATCCACTCATCGGCACACACTCACTGAGTTCCCACTGTATGTCAGGCCTGGGCAGTCAGACCAGCCCCTCATCTGGCCCCTGCCCACTGAGAGCTTACCTTCTGGAAGGTTTAGTGCAGCCTTTCTCTAAGTGCAGCCTTTCTCATTAAGCACTAGTGACAATTTGGGCCAGATATCTTTGCTGTGAGGGCTGTCCTGTGCACTGTACGGTGTTTAGCAGCGTCCCTGGCCTCCATCACTAGCATTCCACCAAATTGTGACAACCAAAAATGTCTCTAGATATTGGCAAATGTCCCCCCAGGATGCAAAGCTGCCTCTGGTTGAGAATCACTGGTCTCAGTGCTACAGGTGTGCATGGATGTGCCCCTGCGTATAGTTCACTGAGTTAAGAGTTGGTTATTAGTAATTATGTGCCAGGCACTGCACTGAGCACTTTGCACACGGTATCTGCACAGCAGGGCCTCAGACATGCCTGTGACGGGGGAACGGGGACCATTCTCCACGTGGCCGTCCCTCACTCACAGTCACAGCAAATCAGCAGCACCAGGATCCTACCTCTGGTCTCACAGCTCGCCATCCTAAGTCCCTTTTCTCCCCTTTCTGCCGGTGTCCCACCCCAGCTGGAGCTGGGGCAGGGACTGAAGAGAAGGTGGAGCAGAAACGACTGAGAACTTGACTGCCGGGAGTCTTACGAAAGGGCTGGGTGATGGGGATGATGGTCACATAGGGATCGTTCTCAAGGTGTGTATACTTGTGACCGTACAATTTGCTCTCATCTGGCATCTCACCCCAGCCTCAGTGTCCAGAAGGGGGCACGGTAACCAGTCTGTGTCACAGGTGAGTAAGGCAGCACCCCGGAACCTGCTCTGCCCCATGAGAGTGTGGTGGCTCCTGCAGGGAACCCTGCAACGCCTGCTGGGGTTGCTGCTAGCTGAATGTTAGCCTCTTACACAAAGCATGGAGTCCTGCTGGAAAGTGAGAGAGGATGGCCTCAGTGTGGCCTAAGCCAGGCTTACGATGGAGGCTGGACTTCGGCTCTCTGGCCACAAGCCACAGGCAGGGACCTGCACCTGGAAGAAAGCTGCCTGGTCCTTTGTAAATATTCCACAGCAAAATGCGCTTCAAAGACAAAGGCAGGCACAGTACAAAACCCCAAATTAGTCGATCTTAAGTACAGCAGCTGGTTTCAGTTTAATGATGTATTAGTTAGCTTTGCTATAGTAACAAACAACCCCCAAATCTCAGTGCTTATTACTACAACAAACATTTATTTCTCATTCCTGTTACAGTCAATGGCTACAGGCCAGCTGCTTCAGCTCTGCTCCATGTGTCTTAGCATCTGACACCCAGGCTAAAGGAACAGCCCCTCTCTGGGAAATATGTTCCCACGGCAGAGGGAAAAGAGCAAGAGCCTACCACACGATGCTCTGTAAGCTCGGTCTGGACATGTCCACTCACATCCCTTTTTTTTTTTTTTTTTTTTTTTTTTTTGCGGTACGCGGGCCTCTCACTGTTGTGGCCTCTCCCGTTGCAGAGCACAGGCTCTGGACGCGCAGGTCCAGCAGCCATGGCTCACGGGCCCAGCCGCTCTGCAGCATGTGGGATCCTCCGGGACTGGGGCATGAACCCGCGTCCCCTGCATCGGCAGGCGGACTCTCAACCACTGTGCCACCAGGGAAGCCCCACTCACATCCCTTTGCATTAGGAGCAGGGAAGTACACTCTTCGCTGGGAGACGGGGTGGGCAACGCAAGGTAAGGGTATATAAAATCCTCTAGGAAGGAGGAAGCAAAAAGCTGCAGACAAAAATACAACGTATGACAGTGACTCAACATACAAAAAGATTTCCCAGTTTAAGAGGCATAAAATTCTGAAATGTGAAAACTGTGACATACTGTCCAAGTATGTCACAGTTCTCCATACTGCAAAGATAAAGTGACAAACATTTTAGGGGTTCTGGAGGACCCCAGTTTGTAGGTCTTTATAGATACAGAAACAGGACCTGGCTTTCCTGGTCCCATCTCACCCCAAGGGATCTACAGCATCCCCACAGAGCAACCGTCTATGCTCGTGAAGTCATGGGAGACCCGAGTCTCTCAGCTCTGATACCTTACAATTACACGCATGGTTTGTGTATGTCTGCAGTGTGAGCCATAGCTTCTCTAAGGCCTTTGACTCCCCAAAGGTTCAGAACCACGTCACTGGATTGTGAGTCAGCGTCCACAGACCAGTGAGTTCCTCAGGCCAGAGATGGAGGCTGGTGGGTAACACAGCTCACAGTGAGTCCAAGGATGTCATGACCAAGGCACGGAGTTTTGTACCAAGAGAGATGAGTGAAGACCAGCTGGAGCTCAGCACTCTGACCAGAGAGGCTGCAGTTCAGGAAGTTGGCAGCTCCTCCCCAACCACAATGCAGGGAAGGCCTGTCCCAGGGTGACAGAAATAAACCGCTGGATTCTAGGAGTAGGTCCTGTTGATTCAAGTGTGCTAGACCCCAGGCTGAGGAGCAGGAGGGGGGAGGAGGTCCAGGGGGCCTGGCTCTCACAGCATGGCCTGGTCACTTTACCTGGCGCACCTTTCTCCCCCGGAGATAATTCCTGCAAAAAGCAGAGGATCCTACACAGACCAAAAATGCTGGTGTCAGGGCTTTTACAAAGTACCTGCAGTCAACACAATAAAAGAGAGGGGTTAATTGAATTGCAATCTTAATCATCCATGGACCTTCCCAACAAGTCAAGGTGAACCTTTAGATATGAGTCAACATTAAAATGCAAGTTCAGCAGATTTATTTGTTTGGTTGTTTGTAAGTCTGCAAATTAGCATGACCCTCTCTCCCTTAGAACCCAGCGAGAACCTTTGGGCCAGTCCTATAGCATCATGTATGTCTATGGCTAAACGTGAAATAAAACAAGAACACGCTTTCATTCCTTCATTCAACAGTGAGTGCCCAGGGTAAGCCAGGCTCCTTGCTGAAAACACACATTAAACAACAAACAAAATTCACCATCCCTCTCTGCAGGGAGGGAGATAAATAATGACAGCAAGGCACAACTACAGAAGCATCTGTGAGGTATGGTGTTAGCCCAAGGGACGTGATTCCCTCTTTGGGAAAGGGGAATCAGGAAAGGCTTCCGGGAAGCTGCCATGTCTCAGCTTGCGTTAACTGAAAAAGGGGTAGAGACAGGGCATGGGGGAGCAAAAGCCAGGAGGTGCGGGTCACTAGAGCGTTTGCAGCTGTTGGGCATACAGCAATGGAGTGGGCAGGCTAGGCAAGGCCTTGGCCTCCCGGGTCCAGGGGTGTTAGCAGCACCCCATGGACTTGGGTACGGACAGAGGAGCCTGTAGCTTGGCCCAGCACCCAGTTCAGGGTCTGAAGTTGCCGTCACCCGTGCTAAGCCTCCTGCCTATGTTAGTCATTTAGAAAATAACCATTTCCAATGCATTTACACTTTCTGAGAAGCATGAAACTGGTTTTCCTCCACAAATCAGTCTGCTTTCTGTTTAGATTTCTCCCCCATTTTCTGGAAGACGGGGTAGAGTAGACCTTGGGCCTTTAAAGAATTCTGGGTAATCTGCTAACAACTGAGAAAATGAACAGCTAAAAATCTGTCTATAAACTAGAAAGGAGACGTAGGGCCAGAAAAAAGTGCTGCCAAGAGAAGTCACGGATCATATCTGAAGAAACCTTCACCTCCTTCCTGCCTGCCAGGCCGAAGCAGAAGCATAAAGGCCAGCTGGACACCCACACCAAGTCAGTCAGCACATCGCCAGCTCCCATCCCAACGTGCCTCCTCCACTGCTCTCCAATCCACCCTCTACTTCAGGCTTCACCACTGAAGAGTCCACAAGCTCTGTACATTCCTTGGTAAATTTTACCTGAACACCCCCTGGGGCTCCATCAGGATAGAGTTTGTGCTCCTTAGGGCATTCAAGGCTGTTGCGCACGGCCCTAACCTGGTCCTCCAGCCTCATTTCCTACCACGCCCAACCACCCTCGTTGCCCTAGCTCTTTTAGCATAGATGCAAGACATTTGCTTCGCTCAAAGCTTAGGGAAAAGTAGCCCAAGAGTCACCCTTACAAGCTACTGAGGGCATATATTCCCTTACAGTCCAGGAACATTCCAAAGCTGAAGAGAGAGACAACTGCCAAATCCAACTGGCTGCCACTGCGACTAACAAAGGTGCCCTCTCACAGCAAGACTGCCCCTTAGTTCATCAGAGCTCTGTGACTCCTACTCTCTCAAATACCTGAGAAATATGTAGGCAACAGTTATTACCCCCATTTTAGAGATGAGGAAACAGCCCCAGGAAGGCAGTACGTGCTCAGAGCCCAAGAGCCACTAAATGACGGTGTCTGACTTCAAGAGCCGATGCTCTTTCCATGTGACAATAGCGACAATATCAGGGGACACAGGCACAATTAGGAATAGGAGGGCCATCCCAGCTGTTTTTGGTACAAAAGCCAGGCAGCTTCTTCTTTCTCAACCAGCCCCATTGACCTCTCCCTGAGGACGTCATGGCTGCAGTGCAATGGGCTGAGTCGTCACACTGCAACCTGTTTGGCTGATGGCCCAGGACAGTCTCTGTGGTCACTGTCTCACACAGTTTTGTATCCAGGGCAGAAGGGAGGGGAGTACAAGGCAAACACTCAGTGGTGGAACAAGAACCTGGCTGTATCCCTGGGATGGTGCCTGAGCATCCTTCTTGGTCTACTCAGCCCCATGAAGGTGACTCACCTGGGGTGCTGCAACACCTGCAGCAGGGTGCTCTTGGGAGGCACCCGGTACAGTTCTGACCTGTCGTCATCCTCAAAGTAGACCTGCAGGATGAACAGGGGAGCAGGAGTCAGATACAAATAAAGGGCTTCAGCAGCACTAGGCATGTTGAGGCCAAGTCTGGGGAAACGTTAAAGACATGCAACTGTTATTAGCTGAATGCCTCCCTTACAGAGTTGTGGAGTATAAAGCACTCAGTCCTCTCCCACGACACTAAGAAGATATTACTGGCTCCATTTTCCAAAGACAGAACCAAGGCTCACAGAGGGGAAATAACTTACTGACTAAACCCAGCTAGTAAACAGAGGAGCCAAGACTGAAAGTCCAGGCCTATGAGCCTTCCCTTCCCTAACAATTCTGTGCAACAGCCATTAGGTGTGGGAAAAGAAAGCACTAGTGGCCCAGAGCAGGGGAAGAGACATGTCCACACAGGGGACAGCCCTGTGCAGGTGTCAAAGCCCAAGTAGGTTGAGGAAGACATCTGCATAGGAGGGATGCTGCAGGGTGAGGGGTATCAGAGACTGGCCAGTGGAGATAGGCATCCTCATTGTGGACTGGCCAGCTAAGCAGGGTGAGAAGGGCAGCCACTCATGGCAAGGAGGTGGCCTGCTGAGGGGAGTGAGGACCCACGCAGGATGAGGAAGAGATTCATGCAGGGTGGTTAAGCAGCGTGGAGTGACAGAGTGCATGTAGGATGAGGAGGGCACTGTGCTGGAGCAGCAGCCTGATGGGGGGAGTCAGGAATCCAAGTGAGGTGAGGGAGGTTCCCCGAGGGAGAAGGGACACTGGTGGTGACAGGAGGGGGATTAAATACGGGGGGATTGATCAAACAAATAAATATATTAAGAATAATAGAAGTTACTGTTAAAAATATAGAAAGAGATGGTGTTGGATTAGAACTGGAGATACCAGTGAGAGCTCATACACACACATACACAGCATTGGAGCAGTGAGCACCCTCCTCCCCTCACCCCTGTACTTATGAATATACCTACTACTTGACTTCTAAATATCATTTTCCACCAAAAAGAGCCAGGCCCTCCTTGGGAAAAATGGCTGATTCTACAGCTAAGGCAAGGAAAGCACAATTTGAGCCTTGAACATCTTGTGACAGAAAGCAAGAAGTGCTCTAAAAATGGAGACAAGTCAAAAGGACACAGAAGCAAATTTGAAGGCATTCCCACTGACCAAATCTGAGAAAATGTGAGCATAACATAACCACAGTAATAGATTATAACTCAATGAATAAAGTAAGAAACCATAAATCCACTGATATAAATGATTATGTTGATGGTTTGATGAATAAGATATTTGTATCATTTCAAAGTACCTCCCTATAAAATACTAATTACAAAGGGGAAAAGAGTAACTTTACAGCAGAGAAGCTTGGCAAACCCCTACCTCAATCAGGGGACTAAGGTGAACACCATCAGTAATGGGACATTTGAAATTATGTGCACCTGATGGGATGCAACAAGAATACTGCATTGCTTCTGTGATATTCCAGTCAAACATACATAATCCAGGTCATGGTCACAAGGAAACACACTGATGGACTTTCCACAAAATAACTGGTTTGTAATCTTCAAAAGTGGTTAAGATTGGGCTTCCCTGGTGGAGCACTGGTTGAGAGTCCGCCTGCCGATGCAGGGGACACGGGTTCGTGCCCCGGTCTGGGAAGATCCCACATGCTGCGGAGCAGCTGGGCCCGTGAGCCGTGGCCGCTGAGCCTGCGTGTCCGGAGCCTGTTGCTCTGCAACAGGAGAGGCCACAGCAGTGAGACGCCCACGTACCGCAAAAAAAAAAAAAAAGTGGTTAAGATCAAGAAAGCTGATGGAAGACTGAGAAAGTCTTCCATAGGCTGAAGGAGACTAAAGGGACATAAGCACTAGATACAATACAATGTGGGATTCCTTTTGCTATAAGGAACACTGCTGGGGATAGGCAGAGGGGGATCAAGATGGTGGAATAGGAGGACGTGGAGCTCACCTCCCCCCATAAACATCAAAAATATATCTACATGTGGAACAATTCTCACAGAAAACTAACTGGAAACTGGCAGAAGATCTCCTATACAACCAAAGCTGCAAGAAAGATCTCCATGTGATTAGATAGGACAGAGGAAAAAAAAACATCAGGTTGGGACTGGCACCCCTGGGAGTGCTCTGTAAGGAAGAGAAGGTCCACATGGATGGATCCTCACCCTGGGAAGCCCCCTTGACTGCTGGGAAATCCGCTGACACAGACAGAGGGGCTGGAGAAGCCTAGACTCTACTCGAGAGGAATGTGCATGTGCTGGCTTGCTAACAATCAGGGTGGAGAGAGACCTGCACTTGAGGCTGCTGCCTCGCTGCACTTCCCAATCCAAAGGGGCCAGTGCCTCAGCCACACTCACTCCACACCACAGCCTGGTGTGAGATCACGGCAAAGATTCAGTCTAGCTGCGCAGAGACAGACCAGGGTGCTTGGGGTGTGATCTGAGCACAACGATGGAAACCACTGTCAGTGTACGCACCAGGGTGGCGGGCCAAACCGAGCAGACACCATCAGCGCATGCACCAAGTGGCACCACAAGAACACACAGCGGCTAAGCACTGAATCTCACGCAGGCAGATCCTGGGAGAGGACTCAATCTAGCTACAGAGACAGTCTGGAAGGCCTGAGATGTGATTTGGGGGTAGCTGCAAAACCCATTGTCAGCATCCGAACAGCAGTAGCAAGTCTAGCTGCAGCAGACATTGTCAGTGCGCACACCGGGCAGTGCCACAAGAACACACAGTGGCTAGGTGCTGAATCTTGGGCAGTCAGGCAGGCCCTGGGTGGGAGTATTCAGTGATGGTTTCCTGGTGGGAGCACCCTAGTTCTGCCCACTCCACACTGCACCTTAGCATCAGATCTGGAGTGGCCAGGTGCCGGGAGAGCTCTGCCACAGAGGCAACCCCAGGTCCCAGGTGGCAGCACGACCACCTCAATTCCTGCAACCACAATGCCCTGACCCCCACTCCAGCCTACTCCACACCACAGCCTTGCACTAGATCTGGGACGAACAAAATGGAGAAAGGGACACGACCTTGGGCTGCTTCTGAGTGAATCACGGATACTTACATAGGTAGTGCACAAGTCCTCCGTGAGTACATGGGCCTCACCTGCTTCAACAACCACCTCCTTTGGGGCAGGGCACACATTCAAGGGCAACAAAGCCTGATTGAACCTGACCCTCATGGCTTCTACTCCAGCAATGGAGGAGCAGACCCCGCCCCCGACAGGCCATGGAGCAAAGAGGAGGCCCTGCCTCACATCCAACACAGGCTCTGGACACCACCACACCAATCACACTCCCTATCAAGGGGATAACAGCCAGCACCCTCTGATGAAAGACGTGGCAGGCATCCATAACAAAACCAGCCCTCACACCAAAAATATTGGACGCACAGTCTACACAGGGACACTCCTACATAAAAACGCCCTTTTAAGACCACAATAGATAACTGTTTTCCTAAATTCATAGAAACAGTGAAAGTTAAGTAAAATGAAAAACCAGAGGAACCACTCCCAATTAAAAGAACAGGAGAAATCCCCTGAAAGAACAAATAATGAAACAGACCTCACCAGTCTATAAGACCCCAAGTTCAAAAAGGAAGTAATAAAAATGCTAAAGGAATTAAGAAAGATTATCGATAGAAATGCAGATCACTGTAAAAAGGAACTAGAAACTATAAAGATGAACCAATCAAAATTAGACAATTCAATTGCCGAGATAAAAACCGATCTAGAAGTAATGGATAGCAGACTAAATGACACAGAAGAACAAATAAGTGATCTGGAAGAGAGAATAATGGAAACTACCCAATCAGAACAGCAGACAGAAAGACAAACGAGAAAAAAAAAATGAAAGCAACATATGAGATCTATGGGCTAATTAATATAAAGCGTGCCAATCTACACATAATAGGAGTTCCAGAAGGAGGAGAGAGAGAAAAGAGGATCAAAAATGTATTTGGGGGCTTCCTTGATGGCGCAGTGGTTGGGAGTCCACCTGCCGATGCGGGGGGGCACAGGTTCGTGCCCCGGTCCTGGAGGATCCCACATGCTGCAGAGCGGCTGGGCCCGTGAGCCATGGCCGCTGAGCCTGCGCGTCTGGAGCCTGTGCTCTGCAACGGGAGAGGCCATGGCAGTGAGAGGCCCGTGTACCGCTAAAATAAAAATGTATTTGAAGAAATTATGGCTGAAAACTTCCCAAACCTAAAGAAGAAAATAGATACCCAGGTACAGGAAGCACAGAGAGGCCCAAACAAGATGAACCCTAACAGACCCGCAACAAAACATATCATAATTAAAATGGCAGAAGTTGAAGAGAAGATCCAAAGTCAGAAAGAGAAAAACAAAGAAGTCAGTTAAAAGGGAACCCCCATAAGGCTATCAGCTGATTTGTCTACAAAAACAAACCCAGAGGGAGTGGCATGATATATTCGAAGTCCTGAAAGGGAAAAATCTGCAACCTAGGATACCCTACCCAGCAAGATTATCATTTATAACAGAAGGAAGGATAAAAAATTTCTCAGACAAGCAAAAGCTAAAAGAATTCAGCAATACTAAGGGTCTTCAGTATTGAAGGGTCTGTTCTAACTGTAACAGAAAAGAAGCAAGAATCTATTGGAAAGGAAAGATAACAACAGGAAAGGTAAATATATAAAAGGACTGAAGATCAATTGAACAAGCCAGTACATAGATTAAAAAATAATCAAAAAATTTTATAAAATCGATTATAACTACAATTAATAGCAAAAGGATAAGCATGAAGATGTACAATAAATAGGACATAAAAATCAGAAAATGTGTGTGTGGGGAGTATAAAAATGTAGATTTTTTTACAATGTGTTTGAACTTGTATGACCATCAGTTTAAAGCAAGTAGATACTGGGAATTCCCTGGAGGTCCAGTGGTTAGGACTTGGAGCTTTCACTGCCAGGGCCTGGGTTCAATCCCTGGTTGGGGAACTAAATCATGCAAGCCATGCAGCATGGCCAAAAAAAAAAAAAAAAGG